CCAAAAGCAGATTCCAAGAACAACTGAAGTCACACTTAGTTAGTTCTGAAAACGAGGTTGACCCAGATGTTGCTTGTAAAGATATAGAAACCGAAGAAGCATTAACTTCAGCGTGTCAGGAGGTTCTGCGTCGCAAGAAACATCATCATAAGGAATGGATCTCTATGGAAACCCTGAATAGGATTCAAGAAAGGAAGAACAAGGAGACAGTAATTTACGTGAAGAGAGAAAGTCAAAGCACAGGCCGAATGTCACTCTACCAACGATCGAAGAAATCAAGCTAGCCATCAGACAAGTTAAGGATGGGAAGGCAACAGGATCTGACAACATATCAACAGAAGCACTGAAGTGAGACTTAGAAGCAACAAGATTTAGGAGGAAGAACAAGGGTTGACAGACTGAAGAGAAGGATACCTCATCAAGATATCAAAGAAAAGTGATCAGAGCAAATGTGAGGACTGCAAAGTCATGACACTACTATCAGTACCAGCAGAAGTCAACAGTGTGTTACTGAACCGGATGAAAGATTCAGTAGACATCCAGCTTCGAGATCAACAGGCCGAATTCCATTAGGATCGTTCATGCACAGACCAAAATGCGATACTACGAATCATCGTTGAACAATCAGATAAGTGGAACTCGTCACTATACATCAACTTCATTAACTATGAGGAAGTTTTTGACAGTATGGATATGATGACCTTGTGGAACTTTCTTCGACGCTATGGTGTGCCTGAGAAGATCGTAAATATCATACGGAATTCATAAAACGGACTACACTGTGAAGTAGATCATGGAGGGTATCTCACAGATCCATCCCAAGTGAGGAATAGAGACAGACAAGGCTGCTTGTTCTCCTCCTTTCTTTTTTTTCTGGTGGTCGACTGGTATACGAGGACCTCGATATTAGAGAGGAAGCACGGAATACGACAGACGGGTCGGAATCATTTAGAAGATTTGGACTTCGCAGATGACCTAGCTCTTCTATCCTAATTACAGCAACAAATAAATTTGCAGACAAACAGTATAGCAGCAGCCTCCAAAGCAGTAGATGTCAACGTAGACAACGGAAAAGAGGAAAGTCAAAGTCAGTAGTCGTAAAGAGACATCAAAAGGGTAAGTAGCAACTGGAAAGGGTCGCTCAGTGTAGTGTTTGATGGATAGTGCTGGTGGGTGGCCTAAGCTACTCCACGAGGGGCATCAGGTGTAAGTTAGTAAGTATTCTGACCCGTAAATTTTCGTAGACGAGTTGTGCAAAATTAGAAGTCAACAACGTAAACTACGAACAGTATTATCTTAAGATCCTTTATCTTAGTAACTAATAGACTGTCAGATTGCCTTCCTACTTTTGGAGTTCTGACTTATAATTGTATTCAATTCGTCCTCTATCAATTTTCTCCATATATGTTTCATTGGTCATAAGCGGAACGAAAATCGAAATTCCAAATTACTTTTATTCAGTGAGTTTTTTCTTAGTTACTTTCAACCCATAAGATTTTTTACTTTAGGAAGCCAAAAAGCAATCTGAGGAAAAATTGGTCAGAGATAACTCTCTCTTAAACCGCTTGTCACTAACTGGGTCTCACGTTGAACTTCTTCCAGAAACTGATGACGACTCAACTATGGCAAAAGTTATGTTCCTTACACATTCGAAACGTAGTAAGTCCTTTTAATATGAACCATTTATTTATTTATTTTAATTTTAACACATAGATATCGGTACAAGAAGGCACCAAATACATATGCGCCACACATATCTCATTTGATATGTGTCAGGGCTGTGATACTGCCTGGGTGCCCAAACCGAAGCAGGTGGTTTTCTTAGGGGGCCACACCCCGAGCCTTTGACCTGAAGATCTGATCCACAAGGCAGTGGAACATCGTGAGGAGATGCAGTCCCATGGAAGCCGGTGACCAACGATGGGTTCATACGCCATTTGTTCCCGCAGGATACTGGAGCCCATGTGCACCATTGGTTTGGGATCCGGTTAAAGCGCCGGAAATTCGCTTTTCGTCCTCTCATTTTCGTGAACAACACCCCCGCCACGAGAAGGCAGTGAGTAGGACTTCCCTGGCAGAGGCTGTATACGCGTGGCCATATGAGAGCATTTCGAGAGGGAGAGCGGACTCCCCCCACTCTTTGCCATACCAGGGCATTTGGGGGCACACAGTTATATAATATACCCTTGTGGGCCAGGGTAATTTTAAATCGGTTTTCAGGAGAACCAGACACCGTCCAGACTTTCACGCGACAACCCAAACAGCACAGCCCAAGCCCATTTAACTGGGGAGCCGGACACCGTATAGGCTATAACGCTACAATCTGAATAGTACAGCTCAGTCCTGTGGCGCAACCACACAGGTACCAAGCACCCTGGTGGACCAATGAACCATATACATCGTTTATCAGTTCCCATATAATGTAGGTAACACGTTTATTTGTTGTGTGCTGTTGAAAGATGTAATTGAAATAATAATAATAATAATAATAATAATAATAATAATAATAATAATAATAATAATAATGCAAATTATTAATCAGTTACAGTAGGTATTGTTAGCGTAATATGGATTGGTTTTAAGTATGTTCCGTATAGGATTGTGTTGGGGCATGGTAATTGGCCATTTCTTATCCAATCAGCGCTAGTAGATACTTAGAGAGGACTCTAGAACCTCCTTGTGTAAATAAATGCAATAACGTTTTTCTCATAGTGACTCCTACTTCCACTCAACCTTATTTTATTTTGAATTTAATGGCGTTCCTACCCACCCATATTCTGATTTAGGGGTTTGTCGAGTGAAGTAAAGTGTCCAAAAAATACTACGTAATAGGAATAACTGGGTTGTAATAAGAGAGATCATAACCAGGTGACCATTCTTCACAAATCTGAAGTATTGGTAAGCGCTTCAATGAAAGGATATCAGATGACAAAATAAATGGTCATCAAAACTGAATAGTTTTATATTTCTAAATTACACAGTTATATCCAGAATTTTTAGCTCTAATATAAACGCTTAAAATAAATTTAAGATAAACATCAATAATTGTAGGGTTTATATTTCGTGGGTCATTCACTAGTCTGTAAAATTAATAAATAATTGTGAAACATGCTCCTCGCTATATCATAATCAGTTACATATTTGCGCTTGCTGATTGTTTGCCCAAACCGAAGTAATTGGGGGATGGTTTTTATGCCTCAACTCAGTGTTTGGAATCTGATCTATAAAATCAGTGACTTACCTAAACATTTCTTCGCTCTTCACGCTGCCTGTAAAATAGGGATCAATTTTGTCAATAGTAAACCAAGTGAAGACGGTAAATATACGGGTGCTATGTTAATAATAATAATAATAATAATAATAATAATAATAATAATAATAATAATAATTATTATTATTATTATTATTATTATTATTATTATTATTATTATTATTATTATTATTATGTTCAAAACCTGAAGCGTGACAAAGTAATGTTTGCATTAATTGCATTGAATTTAGCCACTTCACGTATTATTTGTATTTTACTTGAGTGGACGTAAATATATCCATATACCAATGTATCCTGGAAGTTATACTACTAATATTTGGATTAAATGAATCTGAAAATACACAATCGTTCGATGCAGCGATATTTAAATCACAGTTCTGATTTTCCTTATTTTTTAAAAAAGTTATCTGACTCTTACTTTGATTTTAAACTAATCACACCACGCTACGTAGCAAATTCTTCGTTATTTCACTTCTGACCTGAAGCAGATAGCGACCAGTCAACTAGAATCTTGTTTACCTCCCACATTTTAACTAATATAAACCATTTTTTAGTACGAAGTGACCACCTGAAAATCGGGGAGCACTAGATGTCTATCTTATTTTTGCTAGGGAATCTCTTGTAGTTCGCATCCATGACTTTCGAGTATCGGCGAATACAATACTTTTAGGTCCATTTCCGAGATCGAATGTGGACTATGCGTATAAACATGTGCGTTAATCTAATGTTTTGTAGGTATGTTAAAAATTTCTCACTAATATCAGTCTTATTTTCTCATTTCCCGAACAGGTCAAGCATGCTAGAAGTATGTATCTGTGTATAGCTTTTATGTACTAAAATTATAAATCATGGAGCTTTGGTTCAGTCTACGCAACGCTACAGTGGCCCGTCGTTTACCGGGTTCCGAACATAGGTTAAGTTTTCGAGTGGGTTCAAACGTTGTGAAGTATTATAACCTACTGGACGTTTCTGTCAATTAAACCTAATCTTGTATAATGTTGTTAGTTAGACTTTAAAAGTTTGGTATGAAAATGTTTCCAGGTTTTAAAACGCTTCACATCAGTGGCAGACACATAATTTATAACCATTAGGTTAGAGGTTGAGATTTGATCCCATCTACTCCACTTTGTGGAGTTTAACAGTAAGCTTTAGTTGAATGCTAAGTACATCATTAAATTTCCTTTGTTCTACAGAAGTCATAGCGAGTGGTTTCGAAACTTACATGCACCCTAGAATAGTCAAAGTTCGTTTCATTTATGAATATCCTTAACTTTACAAGTGTTTGGTGTACTGTAATTCCAACTTTTTTTTAAAACCTTCAGATATAACCGCAAATCCTTTGAATCCTATGTCTCTCATTCGTAATAGGAACTCACATGTGCCAGCTTCTAAGGCCAAAAGTGCATTGAAAGCTGATAACATCAAAAAGTCAACTATATCAACGTTAAAAAAGACTCCAAGGATGTCGATGGATTCGGTTATCTATCGTCCTTTTAAAAGTAAAAAACTAATTAACAAGTGTGGAGACTCTGGAATTGAAGAAAATGAATCCTCTTTTTCAACTCCCAATCGCTTTTGTAATCACGTGACAGATAGTCCTGTCGAACTTGTGACCTATGAAAGTAGTGATGATTCACATAGCAATATTGACGTTTAACCTTACACGTTTGGTCAAGTAAAACAGATCTCGTTTCATTCATGCTCTGTGTGAGACCGATGGGTTGGAGTTATGAACCAAATACTTTATTCTAAATTTACGGAACGAGCAAGTACATTTGGAAGGTATTTATGCTCTCCACGTTGACACTTTTCAGATATTCATTTTAATGACTTTTGTACCTTATTTTGTTCAATAAAATACTCTTATATTCATTTTTACGTTTTAACCTTATGGTATTTGACAATTTTGATTTTATTGTATGCTTCTCCCATTCATTTTTGCACTATGTTGAAGCACTTATTCTAGAGGAAAATCAAACCTTACTTACCCAGGAAATGGTTATTATATTTTACCATATAAGCATGGTCAGTTAGACAGCAACGCGACCGAAACCATGTCCTTCCGTACGCGGAACAATGCACTACGATTAAGGTTTTATGATGAAATTGATTGAAACCAATGGTAAAATATGTTTCACTTGGATAAGCACCAATTTTTTAATTCCCAAATAGTTTATGCCTGGCTAAACTACACATCTTTCCTTGTTTTTTGACTTTCTGTCTTAATGCACCCAACTTGAATTCACTCAGCGGTATGTAAGTTTGTTCAGACATTTGTTGCTCAGTAGACATTACTTTCGATGAATAAATAAAACTGCCTTTTACAGTTACCGAGAGTTCCCGTAAATTATGTTTGCAATATCAAAGATTAAGGGAATATGCCGTTTACACATAGAACTAATTTTTGTCTCAGATTTGAACTGATGTTATTTTGCCACTTTTGTGTGAAAATTTTTTTGGGATTTATATGATCAGGATTACCTGACCTTCACACTTCTTACTAAGACCTCATTTAATGAAATTGTTCTAAATAACCAATCTAAACTGATGTAAGATTCATTTTTAATGTGGCCATGAACGTCAGTAATGTTCACCAGAAATGACTATAGCGTTACAGCCATGTGTATTAATTTTTAGTTTCATTTTAGCGATGGAATTAGGCTTTTCAGTCGATCACACGGTTTATGGCCGAATAAACGGACTAAAATCTTCCGTTTAAACACTTTAGCTCATCTACAGTTTCTGTCACATCTCATTAAATGCAGAAGTGTGTTTTGATTTATTTATTGTGTGATAATTCTTGTAAATGTTTCTCGTTAAAATAAAATTGTCTCGTCTACCGAGTACTGGGCTATAAGCCACACTCTAAGTATGAGGGCTAATGACAGTTTCTGGCTCTTTAGACTGAAGTATGTTGGGCAGGGTTCTAACTTCGGAGTTAGTAGCTAGAACTTGAAAGCCTTAACTACTAAGCTACTTTCATTATTGTATCATAAGGGAAGTAAACCCGAAATACTTTAACCACGACATATCAGTTTGTGTGTATGAAGAAAATAGTAAAGCTGTCCTCCAATTTTTCTGTTAATTGCTCACTATCTGTGTGTATAGCTTCATAAAACTTTTGTTATGTTTTGTTATCAGTAGTATTACATTACTTCAGTATTATTAAATTTTTTCAGCTGCATCGCTTGTATGACAGATTCAAATATTTTGAAGCGTGTTTGGGAGGGTAAGGTTCCTGCCTGCTTTACGTTGGCACAAGAGGATTTAGCTCATGAAGATCATGCTCCTCCGCCTATTTATGTGAGTTTATAAAATTTTATTTCTCAGACTGATTTGTCATTTGTAAGCGACAAAGCAGATTTTAACCGGTCTCATTAAAATAACTGTGGACAAAAATCTTTGTGACGTCTTTCGTTCTAAGATGGTTTACTGTAATATATATATATATATATATATATATATATATATATATATATATCTGTCGTTATTAGCGTCTGATAATTGATTTACTGATAAGTTTTATAAATTAGTGTATTGGTGCAAAACATTATCAGATTTCCAGTTTTTCGCAACCCAGCTATATCGAATGTCGACTCAAAATTCGGTCGTACATATTTATTATTTATTTATTTATTTATTTTAACACATAAGTATAGGTACAGGGAGGCACCAAATACATATGCGCCACACGAATCTCAATTGATTTGTGTGAGGGCTGTGATACTGCCTGGGTGCCCAAACCGAAGCAGGTGGTTTTCTTAGGGGGCCACACCCCGAGCCTTTGACCTGAACGTCTGACCCACAAGGCAGTGGAGCATCGTGAGGAGATGCAGTCCCATGGTAGCCGGTGACCAACGATTGGTTCATACGCCATTTGTTCCCGCAGGATACTGGAGCCCATGTGCACCATTGGTTTGGGATCCGGTTAAAGCGCCGGAAATTCGCTTTTCGTCCTCTCATTTTCGTGAACAACACCCCCGCCACGAGAAGTCAGTGAGTAGGACTTCCCTGGCAGAGGCTATATACGCATGGCCATGTGAGAGCATTTCGAGAGGGAGAGCGGACTCTCCCCACTCTCAGCCGTACCAGGGCATTTGGGGGCATATAAATCTAAATAGCTACGAACGTTATCAAACACGCTTTAACTAATTAGCCAGTGACTAGCCTGCCCTGGTTTGTATCACATTCTTCCTGAACTGTGAAATATACCTAGTGACTGAACAATATTGATTTTTGTTATGCTCTTACTTGGACTGTATTTTTTCAGGCCTCATTTTGTCCTTATAACATCTTGATTGTATAACATTATAAATATTACATTAGCTAATATCCACCTAAAAATGATTCGACGTTGTCTACAGCAGTGCATACCAGTTTATCCTTATCAGTATACAATTTGTGAACGTCAGTTCTCACAGTTGTCACTTAACTTTTTAATACATTGCAGCTTTGTCTCATTAAGCACAATTTACATAAATGTTTTTGTCTTGAAATAATTTTTCTCTCCTATAGATGTTCCTTCCTCGTGTTTCTTATTTTCCATTGGTTACTGAAAAAGTTATAAGACAATTCAGTCAGTTTTCTGAATGTGCACTCAAGACTGCATCCAAAGATATGACTTCTGAGACACGGGGCAAATTAGAACATGAAATGCAATACACGCAAACCGATCAGATTGATACTTTCAAACAGCATCCTTTAATACACGAATTTTGGCTTGAATATGCTCATCAACCCTTGAAATGGTATGAATTATTGTTAAAAACATTTGCTGCCTTATTTATTATTAGTTGAATCACAAAATTTCCAGTTAACTTGTGAATCATTTTAACTGAGGCATCAAAACTCCAATTAATTAATGCACAATTCCCAATTGTCTTTGACCAAACCAACTACTTTCATTTCAATACATAGTTTCTTGTAACATTTGACGATCTAGGAAAGTACGACTTCAATGTAGTTTTGGTTTAGGAATCAATTTCCTACAGACGCAATTCTAAATTAATCCCCAGACTGTCGAATATTGAGTCTTAGTTTGATCAAATTTAGAACATGTAAGCTATTTGGCCTAATAAGCTTTATCTGTCCCTAAAACGTAAATGAACACTGTTAGCATACAAAACAAAACAATTATTACAGTCTATTAAACAGATAAAGGGAGTGATATAAGCAACACACCGAACGGTAACTAGAGGATAAGAAAAATGAGTCAATAAAACTTATATCGTTTATGATGAACATGGGACATTGTGATTGGTGAATAAACAAGACTTAGTCATACAATGTCAAAGAGAGTGTAGATGGTGATGGGCATTTAATGCTGTCATTGGTGAGTTCGTCTATTGATAACGTTTTACACTTCCCCCGGAACATTCACCACTTTCATCATCCTCGGTCGTCGTTAAAGAACTAGCTTCTTCAAGTAAGCATTAGTTTCGCACTTCCTGAACGATTTCTTTGGTTTTCTTCCTCAACTTCACTGTTCAAACTTGACTGTTAGGGCTGTAGCTTACTTGGTCGACAATGGTTCTACGTCATCGATTCTTACTTGCTTCAGTATTTCTAACGAATAATAAGTCATTTGGTTCTAAATTTCTAGTATGTTCAACTGTTTATCATTTGCTTGAAGGGTAGGCAGATATTCTCGTATCCATCTATTCTAAAACACAGTAGTTAACCTCTGCGCTTCTTTCTATCTTTTATGATACAATAAATTCCTATCAGTGAAAGCTTCATGGAGTGATATTCGTTTATAAATCAACAACGTATTTGGAGTAAGAGCCTCTAGAATGCCAGAATCATTCGTCATTTTTACACGTGGTCTGTTCTTCAATATATTTTCAACCTCGGCCAAGAACGTTTGCATATATATATATATATATATTGGAGTAAAGGTGCCCTTAGAATTCTTGTGGTTGATCTTTTGATACGCACCCACTCTTCGCGTCGATGGCTTGCCCTAGGTCGGTTAATTGCCATTCACAACCCCGTTCTTTAAACTTGATCTCAAAAGCATATAATCTGTTTCAAACTAGTATCTGCACCTCTGAAATTTGAACCATTATCGCTAAAAATGCGCCTCGGGCTTCTTTTGACAATAATGTGCATGGAAATGAATTCGGGTCTAAAGAATATGCCATTTCAACATAGAGGACTGTGGTATTCAGGCAAGTGAACAAGAAGTAACGTTTCTCGACGGCTCTCCCTCGTTTGGTATAAAATGGCCCGAAGTGACCCATGCCTACTGGATTGAAATGCGGTTAGTGGGCTCTCTATCCAGCATTCCGGTAACGGTGCTATTGTTTGGGAGGATGGCATAGAGTAAAGTCTACATAAATAGAATTGGCTAAACAATGAATCTAAGCATATAATGGTTAAGTTTCTGGTCTTAGACATCCCAGTATTCGTTAGTTGTTCAACCCTTTTATATGTCTTCACCAAAAATTCCACTTTGTCTGACAATCCATGGGTGATTCGACGTCCCGGTCTAGTTTCTATCGATAGTTATACTGTAGGATCATTTTGACCGGCAATATCATTGTATCTATAAACCCAACCCGGTCAAAGATAGATGCTACATACAACAAAATAGTTCTCCCGGTCGAGTTTCCATGGAACGTATGAACCTCAAAACATAGTTCATTCATTCGGACGTCCCACTCTACTCCCAGGGTTCGTTTACTCACTTTATTGGACTCACAAACGGTAATATTCCCCTTTATACCATCTTCCCTCGGAATGAAGTCTGTCACTTCACTTACTAATCCTCCCAATCTGACCATTTTTTGAATTGTGAATATATTTATCTGGCTTTGTTATAATTTATCTTATTACAACACAGCGACTCTAGTTGCTTAGTATTCTTGGTCCCCAAATCAGAACACGGTTGAACAGGAACAAAGTTATATTCCAAATAATAAGGGTAGGAATTACAATAAGAAACACGTTAGTATATTTATAGTTTCTACATGAGAAGATTCTATAGTCTTCTCTGATTGGATAAGAAGTAGCTAATCAACGTGCCCCAATACAATCATGCACGGAACGTATTTTAATGTAATATATATTCTGCTAGCAGGCTTCTTCCATAGTATCCACTTCTATCAATAAATCGTCCACATAGAGCTGTTTCGTAGCTGCTTACGTAATACAACTGGAGGACGTATCCTGATTATCAAAAGTTGTTTTCTGCAAGGCAAATGTGGCTCAGCACGGTGATGAGGTTCTGAACAGATGGAATTTCATTTTATAAACCTCTGACTCCTTTTCCAAGTCCACTACTTACTTACTCCTGTTACTCCTCGTGAAGGAGCATAGGCCGACAGCCAGCATTCTCCATCCAACCCCTTCCTGGGCAATCCTTTCCATCTCTTTCCAGTTGTTATCTTCTTCATATCCGCTTCTTTTTCTCGACGTGATGTGTTCTTCGGCCTTCCTCTTTTCCACTTTCCTTCAGGACTCCAAGTCAGCACTTACCTCGTAATGCAGTTTGATGATTTTCTCAATGTATGTCCTATCCATTTCCATCGTCTTTTCCTAATTTCCTCTTCAGCTGGAAGTTGGTTTGTTTTCTCCCACAAAGGATGTTGCTGATGGTATCCGGCCAATGGATGTTGAGTATCTTGCGTAGACAGCTATTGATAAATACCTGTACCTTCTTGATGGTGGTTGTTGTAGTTCTCCAAGTTTCGGCTCCGTACAGTAGAACTAACTTTCTTGACGTTCGTATTGAAAGTCCACCACTGGCCACCACAAATACCCAGGAGTGTTTCAATCGTGTGGCAGAACTACTGCTTGATGGAACATATTTTCAATGTCCGCCGTAAGACATATTGGTCGTCTCCGAAACTCGGTGAAGACATCAACAGTGGTATGTGCTACAGATTTCGACAGATATAAATAGTATTTATCATCAATCGAAAGTGAAATGCCTGGAGTTTGAAGTTTAGGTCGATCAAATAAAAGAGAACGAGAACAAAGAATAATTGCTGTGAAATCGAAATAACAATGAAATCTGAGACAATTGATTACATTTGCAGAAGGAATAGTCAAGTTTGAGACAATTGATTGACATTTTGCAAATGCCCTGGTATGGCCGAGAGCGGGGAGGGTTCGCCCTCCCTCTCGAAATACTCTCACACGACCACGCGTATACAGCCTCTGCCAGGGAAGTCCTACTCACTGACTTCTCGTGGCGGGGGTGTTGTTCACGAAAATGACAGGACGAAAAGCGAATTTCCGGCGCTTTAACCGGATCCCAAACCAATGGTGCACATGGGCTCCAGTATCCTGCGGGAACAAATGGCGTATGAACCAACTTTTGGTCACCGGCTTCCATGGGACTGCATCTCCTCACGATGCTCCACTGCCTTGTGGACTAGACCTTTAGGTCAAAGGCTCGGGGTGTGGCCCCCTAAGAAAACCACCTGCCTCGGTCTGGGCACCCGGGCAGTATCCCAGCCCACTCACTAAAACTTTGATGAACAATTCGCTTATGGAAAATATTCCTTTCTATCTGATTAACATTGAAATAACTCGTACTGTTATTATTATTATTATTATTATTATTATTATTATTATTATTATTATTATTATTATTATTATTACTCTACCACGTCATTTATTCACCCTCTCTTATTCCTACTTTATATATGCGTTTCGACCTAGACAGCAGCTCACCTATGGTGAAAATTCAGCTTTATCTAAACGTTCCCGAGTCACTGCCTGGTTGAAAATTGTATGTTACTACCGAACATGAGTACTGAAGCAGTTTTTCTGAAACCGCGTGCACCATTCAAACTGGCTACCTTCAACGTTCGCACACTTATGCAGGTCGGACAACAGATAGGACTGGCTATGTCTTTGGAAAGTCTTAATATTGATGTGTGTTGTCTATCCGAGACCCGTATTCAAGACTCTGGTGAAGTACTACAAGTTCGCTCTCCATCTGTCACTTCAAAAAGCTTGTTTTATGTGCGTTTATCCGGGGACCCTGTGGCATCTTCGTCTGGTCTTGCTGGCGTTGGTGTCGCACTAAGCGCAAGAGCTGAGGCAGCACTAGTCGACTGGATCCCCATTAACAGTCGGTTATGTGCTGTTAGATTAGAAAGTTCCATCAAAGTGAGAAGAAATCGGCGTGAGAAACGATGTCTTTTCGTCGTCTCCGCCTATGCCCCGACAGATTGCAGCCCGGATGCAATCAAGGACGAGTTCTACCATCAGCTAACTGTTCTTCTCCAGAAAGTGCGTTCGACAGATATTGTAGTACTAGCTGGAGACTTGAATGCTCAGGTCGGGCGTCTAGGCACAGAAGAGAGTCGTTTAGGTGGCCGATGGGGACTCGTTGGTCGCAGGACAGATAACGGGGAACGTCTACTGCAACTATGCACAGACCACAACCTGTTTCTGGCTAGCACTAACTTTCGGCACAGTCATCGCCGATGTGCCACCTGGCGTCCTCCTTCTGCATCTCAAGCCTGGACTCAGATTGATCACATCGCGATCAGCTACCGCTGGCGCGGTTGTGTACAAGACTGCCGCTCCTTTTGGAGTACCTATCTGGAATCTGATCATGCTCTGGTCTGCGCCAATCTCACCTTACTTTTCAGTGGACAACGAAGTGACCGCCACCAAAGGATTGATGTTAGCAAGCTGGCTGCAACTTCTGTTGCTAGTAAGTACCGAACCGAGCTAGCTTCTATGCTAGCTAGCATTCCACCGAAAAGTATAGATGAGCATTGGTTGC